CTTTCTTTCTTTCTTTCTTTCTTTCTTTCTTTCTTTCTTTCTTTCTTTCTTTCTCTCTCTCTTTCTTTCTTTCTCTCTTTCTTCCTTTCTCTCTCTCTCTCTCCCACTTCCTCCCTCACTCCCTTCCTCCCTCCCTCCTTTCCTCCCTCCTTCCCTCCCTTCCTTCCTTCTTTCCTTTCTTCTTTTTTGGGTTTTAGACATAGGGTTTCTCTGTGTAGCCCTGGCTGTCCTGGAACTTGCTCTGTAGACCAGGCTGACCTTGAACTCACAGAGATCAGCCTGCTTCTGCCTCCCAAGTCCCAAGCGTACCACCACTGCCCGACTCAGCAAATCCAGTCTTTGGGAGGGTGGAGTTTATGAGTTCCCTGGTTCTGCACTGGTTTGCCTGTGTGGAGCTGCACCTGGCCTACCTTAGCTGGTCCTTTTTTATGGTGCTGGTTTGCAAGGGCACACACTTGTCTTTCAATTGGACTTGTTTCCCCACATGCTCCTATGTTCTCAACAGTGTAGTTACTAGCTTCTGTCCACCACATTAGATAATTCAAGTTTGGGTAGAATAAAAAGACTAGGAACCTAATGGGGGAGTGGTAGACTGGCAGCAGGAAAGGGAAGCTTTATTTTTTATAGAGGGCACAGGATCTCCAGGAGAGGAAGATGTGAACTTGAAACCAATACTAGGGATTCTCTTTTTCCTCTTCAGTGCACACATGGTGACAATGCACTTAAGCACTAAAGGAGAAAACAGAACCACCAGGGACATCCAACAGGAGCAGAGCCCAGGAAAGAAGATTCAGTCATGTATGAGTTAGAAGTGCAAAGTTGGCTGGGGAATGAAGAGTGGACGTGGAGGCGGTGAGATCAAGTGAAGAGAGCCTGAGACGATGAGCCCGAAGAACAGGAGAGTGGGGAGAGGATGGGAGAAGAGGGAATGGAAGGGTTGAAGGGCAAGAGACAGTGGAAGAAAACCAGAGTGAGGGCAGGTTTAAGAGCACTGTTCACGACGCTGGTTTAAAGATTAGCACCGTCCACCATGCCGGCTTAAAGATCTGCACCGTCCACCGTGCTGACGTAAAGAGCACTGTCCACCATGCTGGCTTAAAGATCTGCACCGTCCACTGTTCCAATTTAAAGAGCACTGTCTACCGTGCTGTCTCAAAGATTAGCACCGCTCACCGCGCCGATTTAAAGATTAGCACCGTCCACCGCGCCAATTTAAAGATTAGCACCGTTCACCGTGCTGATGTAAAGAGCACTGTCTACTGTACCCTTTGCTGAGAAGAAACCTTTGTGTAGTATGAAACAGCTTCTGTGGGCAGATGGAAGTGAAATCAAAGTAGGAACTATCTGAATAAAGAATAAACATCAAACCCAGGTTCATTACAGCAGATTCTCTTTTTTGAATTGTTTTTATTGTGCTATACATTTTTCTTCACTCCCCAACCTTCCTCCCCTCTCCCCTTCTGCCCTCTCCCATGACCCCCATGCTCCCAACTTACTCAGGAGATCTTGTCCTTTTCTCCTTTCTATTTAGATCCATGAATGTCTCTCTTAAGGTCCTCTTTGCTGTCTAGGTTCTCTGGAGTTGTGAATTGTAGGCTGGTTTTTCTTTGCTTTATGTCTAAAAGTCACTTACGAGTAAGTACATATATTTGTCTTTCTGGGTCCGAGTTACCTCACTCAATATGGTTTGTTCCAGAACCAGCCATTTGCCTACAAATTTTGAGATACTGTTATTTTTTCCTGCCGACCAAGCAGTACTCCATTGTGTAAATGTACCACATTTTCTTTATCCAATTTTTGGTTGAGAGGCATCTAAGTTGTTTCCAGGTTCTGGCTATTACAAATAATGCTGCTATGAACACAGTTGAGCACATGTTCTTGTGGTACGAATGAACTTCCTTTGGTTATATACCCGAAAGTGGTATTGCTGGTTCTTGCGGAAGATTGTTTCCTAATTTTCTGAGAAATTGCCATACTGATTTCCAAAGCCGCTGTACAAGTTTGTACTCCAACCAACAATGGAGGAGTGTTCCCCTTACCCCACACACTCTCCAGTGTAACCAGGGGAACCAGGAAAGCTCCATGAATGCAATGGGGTGGGGAGTGGGGGTGGGGGACCACGCAGAAACTTTCCGGGGAAGCAGTTTAAATAGACTGGGGGAGTGGTCAAGATTTTGGCGGGCTGTCTTGACACTGCTCTAGAGAGGAGTCAAGGCTTGGTGGGCACAGGGACGGGGCCTCCAAAGATGGAGGTCAGAGACCGGGACTTGGGACTTACACTACTTTTGTTTGTTTGTTTGTTATTTTCAAGACAGGGTTTCTCTGGGTAACAGTCCTAGATGTCCTGGAACTAGCTCTTGTGGACCAGGTTGTCCTCAAACTCACAGAGATCTGCCTGCCTCTGCCTCCCAAGGGCTAGGATTAAAGGTGTGTGCCACCACTGCTTGGCTGAATACTACTTTTTTATCCCTATTGCTTGCACTGATTTTGGGATCCCTTGGACCCTGCCCAAAGCAATGTGCCTTACCCTTTCTGAGGAGCGGATGGTGTGGGGATGGAAGGGGAGGTGGAGGGGATGGGAGGAGGGGAGAGAGTGAAAACTGGGATTGGTATGTAAAATGAAGAAAGATAGTTTGTTTTCTTTTTCAAAAGAAAAACTATGAAAGCTGCAAAGCTGCTTCCACACTAGAACCTGGGGTTTAGATAACCCAAGTCTGTGTTCCTGAGCTGTGATTGCCCCAAGCGGCTCTAGGACAAATCATCTCTTCTTTCTCTTAAGATGAGATCTGTGGCTTCCGTGTTGACAGCAAATAACTCCAACATATGCGATTGCCACAGTAAATGTCTGTTATAGGAGGAAATATCAGCACTGTGAAGCCAGTCTAGAGCACTCACAGAAACCCTGAAACATCAGAGCCCTGCAGCTTAGGGAAGCACCCCCCAACTACAGACTAAATTCCTCTAATACTACCCAGAAAAGGTCAGCATTGCTGCCTCTGGTCTCAGTACGTTGACTTCCTGAGCGTTGTCACTAGAGTTATAGTTAACTTTATATATGTATAGTGGAGAGCTGTGCTCATGGAGCACCTTCGAAATGACTAATCCTCATAGGGGATTTTGCTCTCCTAGCAACTAGACACAGCCATCCTACCTACCCTCTGATTTTCTGGTTCCCCTGAGGTTAAATCAACATTTTAAAAGGCTTCTACTTCTACCTACTGTTTTGGTGATCAAATAATAATGCCTCAAGGTAATGCTGGAAGTCCTACAGTTTGTCAAGCCTTCTTGGGGAGGAGCTAGGACACAGCTTTTGAACACATGCTCTTTGCCAGAGGTTCCACTGACCTGGGCTCTGCAAAGATCCTGGTCCACACAGGACACTTCAGGCTCATACTGCCTCATGTCATTGCCACAGTGACAACCGTGGGTCCTGGCCTCCTGGCATCAACAGTCACGTGATCGGATCAGGATTGGGTGACCCCTCACTGGTAACAAGTACAGGAGGAGTGATGGTTGATTTTCCAAGATATATTATAAACCCCTTTCCCTCTTTCTTCTTCTTTTTCTACTGCCTGCGGATCTGCGGCTATTTCTTTTGTGAATGGGGCCTCCTGAGAAGAATGTGTGTCTACACATGCCAATTAAACTGTAACATCTGAGGCCTGTGGTAGAGACTCCTTCATCTTTCAGAAACCTGCCTCTCAGGTGGCATTGCAATTGTATTTTAGTAAACAAAGCCTGCCTGAAGATCTGAGAGTAAAACAGTCAGTCTTACAGGCCAGAGAATGGTAACAAACACCTTCAATCCCAGTAGCCACAACGACACACACCTTTAATCCCAATAGCCACACTAGTTGCCATAGAAATTGGGTGCTGCATGCCTTTAATCCCAATGGTGCACATCTTTAATTCCAGCCCTAGAGAAGAATATAAGATGGGGGGGGGCGGCGGCGAGGGGAGAGACAGCTCTCAGGGCAGTATCATTCTGAGATTCCCAGAGGCAGGATCGCCATTTCAGACTGAGGTTGAGGTAAGAGTTAGTGGCTGGCTGGTTTGCTTTTTGGATCTTCAGGCTGAAGCTCAATTTCTGACCCTGAGATTTTATTAATCGTGCTTCATGCTGTGAATTGTAACTTTCTTTACCATAAAGAATGCCATGAACCTGTTTCCACATTGGAACCGGGGGTAACCTAGACCCATGTTTACAGGCCATGGTCCCCTGTATTTTGGTTCCAGAATAAACTGGCTCTTTCTCCCTGGGAACTGAGAGGTGTGTTTTGCCCCATCATTTTCCTGTCATTTCCTTCCTCCCTTCCTTCCTCTTCACCTCTCTCTCTTTTCTCCCTCCTGCCTCTCTCTCTTTCTCCCTTCCCACTTCCCCCTCCTCTCTCTTCCCTTTCCTCCCATTTTTTTCTTTTCAATGGTACATAAGACTATATATGAGTGATTTTCCTTAAATAATAATTATTTTTCTTCAAACTCTGGGCTTTAATCCATATTGTTATATGGAAAACCTGGTGTGCTAAGAGAGTTTTTGTTTTTTACATTTAAGCCTTCAACTGTACACTTGACTTTACTGTCCTAGCTTCTGAAGGTTCTAAGACACTGGAGGAATTAAATTTTCTGCTTTCAAATTTGTTGCTTTTAATTCCTGCTTCCCATGTCCTTTTTCTTTATTGTTTAGACACCTGGCAGTGCTTTCCTGTTGCTGGAAGGAAATGGTTCAGCCTGCTCCTATCCAAGAGGCTGCATCACCAAAAAAATCCACCCCAGCATGGGTGACCATTCACAGAAACTGGAAACACAGAGCTTACTGCAGAACCTGCAGGCAGCTCAGCCGGTGGGGGCCCTTCGGTTGGTTAGAGCCTCTTCCAGGTAGCTCACCTGGTTTGAAGGTGTCTTTCAGCTCTCCTTACAGCTTCTACATGGTTGAGAAAGAGAGGCCTAATGTATGGGCAGTTGTAGGAACCTCGTGAAGCCTTTGGGTTATTTCCTGAGCCCAAGAACCTGTCTGCAGGATGGAAGGTTCACCCCTCAGAACACCCAGGGATTCACATACTTTCTCGAATCCTCTGTCGATTATCCAGACGCTGCTGATTGTGCACTTGGAACTTCCTCCAAAACACAAGGTTTTCGTCCCAGAGAAAAGTGCTACACAGCAGTCAGCACATTTAGGGAGCCCGCACGGACCTACGGACCTCCAAACACAGTGCACACAGGCCACGCTTAGGGGATCTGCACGGACCTCCAAACACAGTGCACGCAGGTACAATAAATACTGCTCTTCACAGGCTGAGACAGATCATGCTTAACTATGGTGACTCATCCACGGTCACAAAGCAGCTTTGTCCCCAGTGAAGTCACCCTGGAAGCTCTCCTTTCAACCAGCTGTGCATCTCTTAGAGTTTCCAAGACTCTGGCCTGAATTCGATTTTTTAAAAACGTTTTTATTTGCCTGTCTTTATGTGCACTGGAACCCAAGGAGGCCAGAAGAGGGTGCCAGGTCTTCTGAATCTGGAGTTCCAAACAGTTGTGAATCACTGTGTGGGTGCTGGGAACCAACCCCAGGTCCCCTGAAAGAGCAACAAGTACTCTTAACCACTAAGCTCTCTCTAGCCTCCAGCCTAATTTCTTTAAGATCGATTGACATTGCTCTGTTCATTTCTAGGGCACCATTAGTCTAATGGTCCATCTTCTAACTTTCCACACTTGGCTCGCCCATCTTCTCAGGGTACACCCTAACAGCACCCAGATGAACGCATTTTATAAGCTCCGCACAAGCTTCCCATCAGGTCCAGAGAGTTATGTCATGCAGCTCTACATATATTTATGGTTGGGGTAATTTCTAAAAACCAGGAGCAGAGAGATGCATTCTCAAAATGATAAAGACTGTAAGCTGGGCATTTATAGCAAATGAAGAGGCATGGAGAGAAAAAAATAGGATAGAAAGAATGAGAAAGAGAGAGGAAGGGGAGGAGAGAGACAGAGGTAGAGCGATCTCCTGCCATGTGACTCAGGGCCCACCACCGCCCTACTGCTCCTGCGCAGTCTGGGGGTCGACGTGCGCCACACGCCCACGCTCTGCTTGCTGTTTACCGCCCGGGTCTCAGGAGTCAGAGCCTCGCTGTATCCTCACCAAAGAGAAGACAGCTCTGTAGAGGCTCAGGAGCTCAGGAACATGAGTGGTCGGGCTCGAGTGAGGGCACGAGGCATGGGCCCCCGCCATGGTGCCAGGGAAGTGGGGAGCACCCCAGGAAATCTCATGGTGAGTGTTTCTCGCCGTCCTCCCTGTGGCCATCCCGCAGTGCTTCCCCCTGCCTGCTTCTCTTCCCTAACTTCTCTTTGCTTCCCAGGATTTCCACCTTTTTTTTTTGTTTTTCTCCCAAGTGGCTAGATACTGTTGTTGAGACCTGGAAGGGCGAAAAGCTCTGTGGATAGGAAATGTGAAACTGCCTTCCACTTTCTTAGCGATAATTCGGTTTGGTAACCATAGTAGAAGTCCTGTCCAATTCAGAAGTGGCTTAGAGTCTACTGCTGTTGGTTGAGCAAGCGCTCAGAGTGGGGCTGTTTGCTGGCTTTGGGTGGTCAGACTGAATCAGTCCTGAATAGCGACTACACACCCACGAATTGGAGAAACGTAGCCTCAGACCAGAGCCCGCAGTCTGTCATCATTTTGCCTTTGTTATCATTTAGTGTTCTCTTGATTTTGCTCTTAAAAAAATAACAAAAACAAACAGGCCAAGGTATAGTAATTTCTTGGGCAAAGAGAAGTTTCTACAGAGAAAATATTAATAGCCAATCATATTACTAACTGGTTTTGTGGATTTTTTTTTTTGATTTTTGAGACAGGGTTTCTATGTAGTTTTTGGTGCCTGTCCTGGAACTAGCTCTTGTAGAGCAGGCTGGCCTCGAACTCACAGAGATCCGACTGCCTCTGCTTCCCGAGTGCTGGGATTAAAGGCGTGAGCCACCACCGCCCGGCTCGTGGACTGGTTTTGGTTCTGTTCGTTTACAGGGGTCACCCCTGGGCTCAGGGCCCCACTTCCACCTCTTACCCTCAGGGCTCTAACACTGTCATCTGTCTCGTGCTCAGATGCCCACCGGCTCACGATAAAAGCCTGGCGAGGGGAGAGGGCTTCAGCTTCTCCGTAGCCTGGAGGGGAGAATGACCTCCTCCCTCGTGCCCCTCCAGGGTTTCTGCCTCTTAGTGTTTTCGGCTGCTGGATCGTGGTAATTTATATCAGACATGATACCGCTCTTGCCTTTTGGTAACCTTGTGGGTTGTGAGTTGATTTAAAGCTGAGCAAACTTTCTCCCTGCTTTGTAGGCCGCGTCCTCCAGTCCCAGGGACAGCCAGGCGTCCAGCAGTGGGGCAAGTGACATTTCCCAGTCAGGTAAGTGCGGCTGGGTCTGCTTCCCTGACTCCTTCAGCCTGAGCAGAGCGGAGAGACCCACCAAGCCCTGAGACACCAGGCTCCGTTGACGGCTCTGTTCCCTTTCCCACGGGTCATCCTCACATGGGTCATCCTCACATGTTCACTGTGTGTTTTCTGAGCTTCCTGGTCATGCTTGAGACACAGGGATCCAGACGGGGAAGCCAGTTTTCTGATTCTTTCTGCTCAGGGAATAATTCTGGAACCTCACCACTCTTGAGCCAGAGTCTCAGAGCCCAACTAGCCTCAAACTTACTGTATTCCTGAAGCTGACCTTGATTTCTGATTCCCCTGCGTCTACCCCAGCCCCTCAGTACTGGAATTGCAAGTGTACATCACCCATTTTGCATGGCCCTGAAGATTAGATCTGGGGTCTCATGCATACTAAGAGACAAGCCCTTTGCCTACTGAGTTACATTTTCCAGCCCTCGAAAGACACATTCCAAAAATACAGAGCACAAAGATCAAAGCATTCATTTACAGGGTGGGAGAGACCAGCCACACACCACCACCTTCCTCTCCCTCCCACCAGTCAGGGCAGGTTCAGTCTCAGGATTCCTGTCCCCTCTAGATCACACAGCTTGAGTTGACATGCCAGGTGTATTGGGTTTTGCTTGGGCTGTCGTGAGGAAGTGCCATAGACCGAGGGGCGTAGATAAGAGACATTCGTTTTTCCCTAACTCCAGAGGGTTGAAGTGAATCTGAGAACGTAGTTCATTTCATATCCCCGGGTAAAAACCTGTCTACCATGTCCCCTATTCTGACCATAGAGTGACACCATTGGGTTCCAGCTGTAAGCACTGAGGGGCCCCTGGACCCTGGTGTGCCCACCTGTCCTGAGCGGGGCCTTCCGGTCCACGTATGCAGTCCCAGGTGATGTGTACCGCAGTGAGAACGTACTGTGTGGACACAGGAGGTCAGCTCTGAGAGGCGGCAAGTTGGCTAATCTGTTCCTGCCACTCAAACACCATTTCACTTTGTATGTGACTCAGGATGGAAGCAGTTCATCTTTGAAGGCACACTGAATTTTTATGGATTTCTTTAAGTTATGGTAATATACATAGAACCTAATTTTTTTCATCTCAGCTCCTCTTTTTGTTTGTTTTTCTAGACAGGGTTTCTTTGTGTAGCCCTGGCTGTCCTGGTGCTAGCTCTGTAGACCAGGCCTTGAACTCACAGAGCGCCACTTGTCTCTGCTTCCCCAGTACTGCCATTTTAACTTTTGTGTACAGTCCTGGGGTTTCAAGCGCACTTACATTGAACAGTTACTGCTGCCACCACCTCTGGAACTCCTTTGTATTGGAAAATCGAGACTTATCTCTTATACAGTAACTCCCCAGTCCTCAGCCTCCCCATTTCTGAGAACCACCTCTCTGTAGTAGTTGGAATTTTTTAAAAACAAGATTTGATTTTATGTTTAATTGTGTGTATTGTATGTGTCTGTGTGAGGTCAGAGGCATTGGCACTGGATTCCCCCTGAAGTAATTGCGAGCCTCCTGATATGGCAGCTAGGAATCACACCCTGGTCTTCAAGGAAAGAAGTGCTCTTAACCACTGAGCTGCTTCCTTGGCCCTCGTAGATGAATTTAAAACTGCCTAAAAAATCACTTGAATTCTAGATCAATGGGAGATGTAGATGATCAATTCAAATTCATACAATATCTGAAAATTAAATGAAGGGGTTTGTTTTTGTTTGTTTTTGGTTTTTCGAGACAGGGTTTCTCTGTAACTTTGGAACCTATCCTGGAACTTTCTCGGTAGACCAGACTGACCTTGAGCTCAAAGAGATCTGCCTGCCTCTCTGCCTCCCAAATGTTGAAATTAAAGGCATGTTGCCACCACCACCTGGCAAATGAAGGTTTTTTAAAATTGGTTTCTTCATTGTGGTTTTAAATCTTCCTGAGAGACTCTATGTCTATGGAGAAGGGTTCCGATGGAAGTTCAGAGCAGGTGAAAGGAGCTCTTGGGGACACAGCATCCAGTGACTTCCTCACAGGACAGGTGAACTCAGAGGCAGAGGTTCAGCACACCACTAGGCATGCCACTTTGCCACAAAGTCCTGGCATTTTGATGGTTTAAAGTTACCTTCCAAGGGCTGAAGACGTTGAAAAGGCGACTGTCTTCTGTTCTCAAACAAGTTGCTTAGATGGAAGCACTTATTTCACTGTTCTGTGATCTAATGCACATGGTAGATGCTGAGGTGGACTCTGTTTTCCCATCTTCTCTTCTTTAGGAACAATCTAGCGTGATTGTTGATGGCTAAGCCTGGGTGGTTTCTGTTTTCAGTGATAAAAGTGAGAGATCCCCTGTGGTAGCCTGGATCTCTTCAGAGTACAGTTACCCTAGAACTGAAGGAGAAGGAGGTCACTGTCACTTGTTAGCAGGTGGACCTGGGCACAAGGAGGCAGCGGGTCTGCTGAGCCAAGAAGAGGAAGTCGATGGTATTATGAAAGCTAACACTAGTATTTCTGGCTAAACATCCACGCTTCCTCTGTAATTTTCAGCGCAGAGGCTGAAGTCTCCTGCATCGTCAGGGGTGAGCTGGCAGTGCAGGACATCTCAGGAAGAGCCGTTTGGACTGTCAGTGTGGTTTTGATGCGCACAGTTAGTCTACCATAGTGTGTTATCTTCTTCTTCCAGATGAGGTCACTGTCTCTTCTGATGACAGTGGACGTTCCTTCATGGAAAGAGGCCAAGGCAGACGAGACTTTGTAGATTTGAGTGTCTGTACCAGGGAGAAGCTGGCACACGTGAAAGATTGTAAAACAGGTAACCAGTCCCTTCTTGTTACTTTTTAAAGGTTACCAAATCTTGCCACAGAATTTACGTTTCTAGTTCTAAAACTGGTAAGTTTGTTAATCACCTGAGAGCTGTTGACTGTCTGTTCTTTTGAAGACATTGTCTGGGTACTCTGAGTGTCAGAAACACAAAACCTCCTCAAACCAAATCTCACTTTCAGGAAAGATACCCTCTTCTCACTTGGGGAAGACATAGGGAGACGCATCTTCTCCTTCCAGCCCTGACCCTATGTGGAGAATCAGCCTGTGGGGATTTTAGCTGTAGAAAGGAAACCTCAGCCAATGGGGGCACCTCTTTATTCACACTCTAGGCTCCTTCCCAAATGGCATACACAGGTGTGAACTGACACACCTTCTGGAAGCAGGGTCTGTGGTTTTCTCTGGATTTGCAGGAAGCTTTGTGGCTCCCTCCTCACTAATTGGAATTATCTAGCAGGCAGCCGCACAGCTGACATAACATTTCCCAGAAGGTGCTCACCTCCCTGCATGCTGGTGCTGCGGGCTCGTTCTGCTGACCTTGAGCTGGAGAGAGGGCTGGGTGGGGAAGAGCACACACCACACTAGCAAAAGATTGGCGTTCAGATCCCACGGTTCGTGTGAGGCAGCTCACGAATACCTGTAACGCCAGCTCCAAGGAGGTGCACAGCCGTCTAGCCCCATGGACACCCACACGCATATGCATGCAGATGAGCACACAAATGATAAGAATCAAGTCCTTTTAGCCCCTCCCTCTGAGACGCGCACTGATTTACACACCTTCCTGACCTGGGCACTGAGAGTGCCTGCTGCTGCCTGGAAACACGGGTGCAGATGATCTCCCAGGCTCTGCCAGTTCCTCAGTCTAGACTGACGTTTCTCATTCTGAGTGATGGCTGGCTCACATGTGTCACCCTTCACTAAGAATGCGGGAGAACAAAATTTTTCCTTAGGCAAAAATGACGTACTTATCTCCGGCCTCTGCCAGACACGTGTATCATAGGCCCAGACTGAGGACACTAAAGTATACAAGTACCATGTATTCTCCGTGAAAAAAAAAAGCACACTAGTCTATGTGTAGTAGAAAGATACAAATTTGATCATTTTCTGTCAAGACAAGTGAGGAAAAAAGTCATTGGTACCGGTCTAGATTCTGTCCTGGGGAGGAGCTTGTGACATCCTCTGAACAGCCAGCTATGTTCTGGCTGGCTCTGATTTTGTCCTGCAGATGTTTAAGCTGAGAGCAGAAATGTCTGTAGGGGAAGGCGTTCCAGGAAGCACACATGGGCTCCATGTGCCCGTACAAAACAGAAGGACAAGTCACGTTGCTTCTGTACAGGAGTGCCCGATTCTGACTCATGGCCTGCCTCTACTTCTTTGGGGGACTTCCACAGTGTTCTGACTACTGATAGAGCATCGTCAGGATTTTCTACAGCCTGCTTCTCATTAGCTCAGTGTCTTAGAGGTTGGGAGTTGTATCATTCATGGCGAGAATGGGCTAGGCTTTTGTTTCTGCTGGGTTTGTAATCTCAGAGCAGAATCTGAGCCTGTCGGCTACCTGAGTCACAGAGACCCATCTGGAAGGTGTCACGCTGGGGGTCCAGGCAGTCTCCTTTAGGTGCCTCTCCTCCCAATCTTGGGAAATCACATCTGTCTCTGTCTTTGGAGGTCTGTTGTGCACATGAGCTCACATTAACTCCCAGTGGCATTGCCAGGTTGAAGATGCAAAGGTTTAATCCCATACCACTGATCAAAAGCCCCTACTTTATAGCAACCACGGTCCATGTGCAATTTTTAAAAATGTGATTAATATTAATATGGTGTGCTCCTCTGATGAAAAATACCTTTTTTCTTCCCCAGGTTCTAGCGGAATACCTCTGCGGCTGGTTACGAATCTCTTTAGTTTAGATTTTCCCCAGGATTGGCAACTGTACCAGTACCATGTCACGTATAGCCCAGACTTAGCCTCTTGGAGGCTGAAGATGGCTTTGCTTTATAGTCACAGCAAACTCTTGGACAAGACAAAAGCATTTGATGGCACCAGCCTTTTTCTCTCAGAAAAGCTGGACCAAAAGGTACAGTGTGATCAGTATTTCACTCAGTGTGTGTACATGGATATATTTGCTTATTCTGTATGTGCAGAGAAGATCCTTGATATTCTTGACAATTTGAAGGAGTGTTTCCCATGCCCACTCCCTTGCTTAAGAGCCCAAAGGTTTCCTAAGATGTCACCATTGATATCGTAGATAAAACTGATGCTCCAGCATGCTAAACATTCAAGAGCTGCACATTCTTAAGACAGATGAACTTGGAAACCTTCTCCAAGCAGGTGGAACCCATAGAATCACCATTTCCACAGCTCTGAGGCTGTGCATTTCTGCACGCTCCTGCCCCTGTGCAGGGTGCCTGTGTGGCCAAATAATTCCGTGTCCATTTTTTAAATATTTATTCATTATTTATACAATATTCTTTCTGTGTGTATGCCTGCAGGCCGGAAGAGGGCACCAGACCTTATTACAGACGGCTGTGAGCCACCATGTGGTTGCTGGGAATTGAACTCAGGACCTTTGGAAGAACAGGCAACACTCTTAACCGCTAAGCCATCTCTCCAGCTCCTTTCTCTCATCCCTCACTGAGTCACAGGAAAGATGAGTTACTGGTGTCAGTTCTAAAAGTGTTTGCAAAATGAGACCACTGAAGTAGTTTAGTGTTTGGTCTTCCTTTACCCATTTTCCCCCCAGATTTTCAACATTACCATACCGTATGATACCATACCGTAAATGGATATCCGTAGGCATGGGTCTCTCAATATTCTGTTTTAAAACGAGATCTGAACTACTGTGAGAGAAAAGAGCCTGGCTTTAAAGAGTTACAGTAGAACACAGGATGAGACCTTTGATGCTTCCAGTGAGAAAGTTCAGTCAGCGAGCTCCACATTTTTAAGCACTGTGGTGCCAACAGCTTAGGATAGCTAACCTTGCTAACCAAGAAAGGCTTTGGGATTTTACCTAAGAAATGAGCTTCTGAGCATTAATTTGTAAGACATTAAAATGGATGGCGCCAAGTGGTGAGATGTGGTGGCTCAGATCACCGGAATCTGCATTGAGAATGATTTTATTCCCCTTCCAGTCCTTTGTCCCATGACATGTCGATGAATGCACCATATCTTCTTGTTAGTATTCTTATGGTGTGTTTCCAGGATCTTGTCAGGATTCAGATCCGCTTGTCCTTGGAGTCGTTTTTATAGCATTAGCTGAGAAGCTTCAGTGGTGTTAGAGTCACTTGTGAGCCGCATGCCAGGAATAGGTGAGCACTGCTCATGTCAGCCCAGAACTAGCTTGTCCTATGTGTCAGACACATCTGCATGCTGGGGACGGCGTCAGTGAGGGGCAGGTGACGAGGTCGGCTGTAAGACAGACCATGTGACTCGTCAGGGCTGTTGGCCGTATCCCCAGATTAGGTGTCGCCGGGTGCAGACAGAGCTTACTGTGTCCCTTATTTGCTCTATGTCCTGTCACTCGGTTACAGGGAGCATCCTAACAATGACTCTGCTCTGTTCGCTTAGTGTTGAACTCAGGACATATAACCCTCCATCCCTGCCAGTCTCTACCTTTCTAGGGTGTTTATCAGGGTTTGGAGAGTTCCTTTGCATACATTATATTCCTGTCCATACTTCTGGAAGCCACCTTCCAGCTGCCTCGTGGCCTTCCAGTATTATCCCGGACTCCATCTGCGAGCTGGGAGGTTTATTTGCTCACATCTCTTTCCACCTTTGTGTACTTGTAGAGTTGACTGTGCACTTACGGTGTTAGCACCATGAAGGACATAAAGACAGATATTGCAGAGGTCTTTTTCTCTAAGAGGCTTTCAGCTTAGCATCAGAGTTTCAGATGGACACAGTGAGGTCGGATGCCTGAGGGCCGTAGTAATAATTAGTGTTGGATTAGTATTTTTATTATACTAACATTATTGCGCTCTTACTAAGTGTAGAGTTCTATGCTCGGCAGGTCTTCGGATCAGCATCACAACTGTCTTTATGCTGCTGTTACATCTACCAGACTACATTTGTTGGCCATGTGCCCTGCCGGGCTCTTAATGGCACCATGTGTTTAACCCTTTAATCACTCCTGGAGCTCAGAGAGCGTGAGGGTCTTACCTCAGAGCCAGAACTCGGAGCATGGTGAAGAGCAGGATTCTTGAAGAGTTATGATTAGTGTCTTCCGAAGGATGTCAGGGTCAGAGAGGAAGACAGTGGGGAATGGCCTTCTGAACGACAGAAGGGAAGGGCGCATTTGAGAAACTTTGGTCATCGAAGTTTAATTAGCGAGGTGTGGAAGTGGCCCTGAAGGTCCTTCTGTGTAAAGGTAGGGAGAAGAGTTTGTCTCTTACAGATCAGTGAAGCACCACAAGAGAGTCTCCCAGTCACATGCTACTGAGGTTTCCTGAGAGAGGTGGGAAGAGAAATGGAATAGCCTGGGCAGTGTGTCAAAAGGACTTGAATATAAACCCAAAGCGCTGCTCTCTGTTTGACCTTTGTGGACGCCTGAGCCCTTCAGGAAGATAAAGATCCTGGAGTGTCCTATTCATCTGCACAGTCCTGTAGCTCCAGCTGGCCTCGCTCCCGCTTTAGAGATAGTGGAGAAGCTCCAAGCATTGGAACAGCTTCCTCCGGGTCACACGGTCGACAGGAAGACGCAGCATCCATAGTCTAAGCGTGTGGGATGGTGGTACCAGGACAGCTGAAGTCACTTAGAAACATTGCTGTGTGGATGCTATGAACCGTGTGGATTGCTCAGGTGGCGGGCTGGGGCGGGGGGAGGGGGGAAATGTGCAGTGGGAGGTTAGCAGCCTGGGAACAGGAGGGGGCGGGCCCAGGAAGAGATGGAGGAAGTGCAGGAGCTGTTGGTGTTTGCCGAGAGGGGATCAGGGGGGACGAAGTGTTTGATCTTGGGAAGTTTCCAAGACTGCCTGCTGTCAGCTCCCTGCGATTCTTCTCCCACACCTATTGTTGTCCACATCCTTGGCTGTGGTCCCTGTGGGGCTGGGAGCAGGATGTCCCTCCTGCTCCTGTGAAGTGGACATTGCCACTTCTGTGTGAGTTGTCTGAGACCAGGAGTCTCCCCAGGGCAATACCCCATCCCATGCAGAAGGACAAGTTTCTCTTTGGCTCTGTGCAGTTCAGTTCCTGCTATAAAAACTGACCCTGTAACTAGAAGAAGGTGGATGTGACTATGCAGATGCTTGCTAATGAGCTGACTTCGAATCCATTACCCTTTGAAACATCCCTGGTCATTGACGTTTATCGGCTGATTTGGGAACGTTTGTGTTTGAAAATTCTGTACTGAGCCTTGCATGGTTTAGAGGTTTCTTTGTAGCTGTTTAAAGATTTATTTTTAATTATATGTGGTGTGTGTGTGCACGCGTGCACACGCGTGCACAACCTCAGTGCAGAAGAAGGTATCAGATCATACGGAGTTGGAGTTACAGCAGCTGTGGGCAGCCCAGTGTGGATGCTAAGAACCAAACTCTGGTCCCCTGCAAGAACAAGGTGACTGTAGAGCCATCTCTCCAGCCTCTGGTGACTTCGGGTTTCCTTTAGTTGAGCAGTTGATACAGAGCCTGTCCCTGTGGTCCTTACGTTGCTAGAACAGTTCCATTTTGGGCGATCCCTAAGACTTTCACCAACCCTTTGCAAGCTTTTATTAACAGAATGAAATTTCCCATCCTAGCACCCACGTTTTCTCGGCTCCATTTCCCTCGTCCTCCTCTTCCTCCCGTCTGGTCCTTTCCTTTAAGGATTTCCTCTCCCCCAGTTTCCTGCTTTGTGAATACGCTTTTTGAGAAATTTCTCATGAATTCATGAACTTGGAAGGGGCCAGGCAGTCTGCTGCTTCTTAAGAATATGTACATTGCTTCTCTAACTATGTGTGCACACATGGAATTTTCTTGAGGGGATGTCTTTATCGGGCTTTTAATTTGAACCCCAGATGTGGATGGGAATAGCCCACACACCAACACCCTCAGCTCCGTTGCTCACGCGTACATAGCTGCTGCATAGGATCTGTGTTCTGACCACTTGCTGTACCCTTTATCTGCTGCTGTTCCCAGGTCACAGAACTGACAAGTGACACGCAAAGAGGCGAGACTGTGAGGATCACGCTCACCTTCACCAGCCAGCTGCCCTCCACCTCTCCAGTGTGCATTCACTTCTTCAATGTCATCTTCAAAAAGTGAGTTGTTTGACCTTCAGCGCACAGCCCGGGTATTGACAGGATAGCTCCGTGCTGCATGGGCAACGAGCCAGCAGCAGCCCGGGGATGATTTTTCACCAACGTTGATGTACTCTGGCAGTGAGATGGGACACCTTCCATCCCTTTGAGCCAAATCCTCATTATTCAGTCTTATCCAAAAGTTAGGCCATGTTGCTTTTAGTCTTTCCTTCACTTCCTGTGCACTGCCTCACTCTGACCCCAGACTCAAGGTCACTGAATAGGAATTGGCCAGATGGTGGATTCGTTTCTCACTAGCTGGCTGGTTTGGGACATACATGGCTGTCACTAGCTGTGTGCTGACTTGGCTCCATCCCAAGCCCCACATAGGTCTTCCCAGCACGAGTGCGGGAAAGGAACTGGTTGCATGTAAGCTTTTGACAGTCTTTAGAATGGACTGAGGGGCATGTGGTCCAAAGTTACCTTGGGGATGAAGGGATTTGACCAGTGCGAGATCCCTGGCCCCTCTCTACACTTAGTCGAAACAGATTTTCCATTGGTAGGGCTTGGAGGTGAAACAAGAAAACTGAGCAAGCCTCCCTGATGATACATGAACACTCTAAAGCAAGTGCGTGCGTGCGTGCATGTGCGTGTATGCGTGCCAGGTCCCACACAGCATTGTGTGTGTGTGTGTGTGAGGTTCCACACAGCACTGTATATATGTGTGTGTGTCAGGTTCCACACAGCACTATGTGTGTGTGTGTGTATGTGTCCTCATGTGCCAGTTTCCACACAGCACTATGTGTGTATGTGTGTCCCCTTGTGTCAGGTTCCACACAGCACTATGTGCCTCCCCCCCATGTGTCAGGTTCCACGTAGCACTGTGTGTGTGTTAGGTTTCACACAGCACGCTGTGTGTGTGTGTGTGTGTGTGTGTGTGTGTGCATGTGTCAGGTTCCACACAGCATTGTGTGTGTGTGTGTGTGCATGTGTCAGATTCCACACAGCACTGTGTGTGTCAGGATGCTGTGTCTGGAACCCTGTTGTAGAGATGCCACCTCCTGCTCAACAACAGACTGAGGGGGAGGAGGTCAGGAAGTTTGGGGGTTTCCAGATGATCTGAGCACATAAAGCAGCTTCCTCCTTACATAGTTAGTCAAATGTCTCACCCGGTCTCTTTGACCCTCCGTGCCCCATGAGAGGACTGTGCTCGGCCAGCTGACGTGTGGAAGGCGCTTTCCACTGTGTTTACAGTCCTGTTCCTTGCTCCCCAGAGCTGGCACTGCCACACACACATACCCGCTTTACGTATGGGAGACTGGCCTCCGTGACACCAGTAGGCATGTCACCAGAGCTGGTGCTCCTGTGTTCTGACTCAGAACTGCTAACATTTCCCCACACACGGGACACCACCACCCCTTCCCAGAGGTGGCTAGGATAGACAGTTGCTGAAGATAGTGTCACAGTGATGTGGGGCACAAAGGGAGCTTGAGTGCTTATCAAGAATAGCCTCTTCCTTTCAACATAGGAGGGGTCAGAGAACTATAATTACACAGACTTGACCATATTGTAGTTAGATGTATAAAAATGTCAACCACATCATTTTAAAGTATGGGCGTATAATTCATGTATATTTAGTGTTTGTTCTAGTGGGGTGTGTGTGTGTGTGTGTGTGTGTGTGTGTGTGTGTATACATGTGTGAGGGCACACATTTGCTTCAGTGTGTGGAAGTCAAGAGACAGCCTCCTCTGTTGGTCCTCGTCTCCCTGTATAAGATAAGTTCTCATTCTTGTTGGCTGCTGCCGACATCAGGACAACTGGCCCATGAACTTGGGGAGTCTTCTGTGTCTCCCTTCTGTCTCCCCACAGGAGAACTGGGATGATAGCTCTGTGTTCCTGTGTCCTGCCTTACTTGGCCTCTACACATGTGACAGTGCTTTATTCACTAAGCCATCACCCCAGCCCCCAAAGGTTGAATTAGGCTATTATGAATACTTATCAGATTCCAAAACTACACTTCCAGGCTCTTTAAAAAGTTGAAAATGTACCAGATTGGACGGAACTTCTATAAGCCTTCAGAACCAGTGGAGATCCCCCAGTACAAGTAGGTGTCTTTATGTCTTCTATTCCTGTGACATGGTAGGATACCTTGCCGCTCTGCCCGCGTGAGGTGTCACATGTCTGGAACATGCAATGTAATGGACTTTTGAAATTTTCAAGTGTTCTTTCTTGTTTTGTTTGTTTTGGGGAGTAGTAAGCACAGATGTGAAGCTAGAACTTTGTGTTCTTTGGTTTGTGTGCTAGGTTGTAAGTTCTAGAGGGGACGCGGAACTCAGCTTTCTGCGGAGAGCCGCCAGCAACAGAAGCAGACCCGTTTATTCTGAAATACATCTGGCATCCTGTGCTTGTGCCGAAGGGCAGTTAGCATAGCCAGGGCAGCTGACAGAGGTTCTGGTGAGCATTCTGCAACACCAAGAAGAGCTCCTACTAGAAGTGCAGGGTCTTAATTAAGTGCCAGGGCTCAGCTCGAAATTCTTATTCACAGGAATCTTATCCTAAAGTTGTTTAAAGAAACCCCAGCTGTAAAAAGTTAGAGTTTTCAGTCAGTAACTGAAATAAATGACACAAAAGCAAAAGACAGCGACAACAATAACAACAAAGCCATGATCTCCAGAGACCTAGAATGGAAGCTCACCGCGTTAGAGTCATTATAGGTTTTTCCGGCAGTATATTTTAAATATTCAGCACTGTGTTTGTTGTTTTTTATTTGTTTTTGAAGATTGTCCCTGTGGCCTGGCTTTGCCGTTTCTGTGTCCCACTTTGAAAGCAGACTCCTGTTAAATGCTGATGTGAGCTACAAAGTCCTGCGAAATGAGACTGTTCTGGAATTCATGACTGATCTCTGCCTCAGAGCCGGCACGTCCCACTTCACCGAGATGTGCCAGAAACAGCTGGTGGGGCTCACTGTCCTCACCCGGTAAGGGCTGGCCCCTGACTGCTACCTAGAACGCACGTTTCGGAGTGTTTGGGATCCAGAATGTCCCTGTCACTTGGCCAGAGTACTGGGGGGTAAAGAGGGGTGTCAGTTAGCTCGCCCCTGTGCAAGCCTGTCTGTTCCTGTGGTTGCCTCTGATGTCTGAACCGACCCAAGTCAACAAGACTATATGACATATCCTGTCATCTTGGTCCTCCATAGCCTGCACTGGGAGGTTCCAGTATGTCTGCCTGGTTCCCAGTGTCCCCTTTCACATCTCTGCCTCCCCAAACCCAGCTCTGTCCACTATCTGAGAACCATCCCCCTTCTCTGGCCACTCCCGGTCAGGCTTTGCTTGGAACCCACCTCTTCATGGCCATTCTGTTGTGTTACAAGACAGAATGTGTGCTCCACTGCAGACCCCTTGAGATTCCGAGGCCTCTTAGACCAAGGACGTGCTTCTCACCTTTGCAGGCTGGGCCACTTAACAGTGCGGTTCACCCTCATTGAACACTGAGCCAAATCAAACTCCGGCAGCTTAGGAATCTTCCTGGGTTCTCAAGAGCTTGCCAAAGAGTGATTTCCTTTCTGGACCATCTCAGTGACCAACTAGCCTAGTCTGGAATTTCATCTTAGAGGTGGTTTCCTGGGCAGAGCCACAGAGGGGCAGCCAGGCTGGATTTCGCCTTGCCGGGCACAGGAATGCTTCCTCTGCCCTCCCGTGTATATTCTGATGCTTTAGCCTCCCACACGCTTGCAGACACCTTTTATGGTACCTGGAGCTCTGGGAAACCTGCCTTGGAGGTTTCTGCTGCAGGCCAGGCCACAGGAGATCATAGTGCTGAAGAGAAAAGGAGCTTAGAATGGTCCAGCTCGTTCACTGGTTCTTGTTTGGCAGAGGGTCAGTCCAAGATGAGAAATCATCAGGATTCCAGAATTGTGTGATTGGCCAGATGTATTGAGTGTGTGTGTGTATATATATATATATATATATATATATATATATATATATATATGTATATGTATATGTATATATATGTATGTATATATACATATACACATGAAAACTACCAGGGAATTAATAAATGACCCCAGAAGAGGGCAGGGAAGCCGAATGGGATTTCATCATTGGGAATTTAAGAATGACTTACCTGGAACTAGAGTCTGTCAGTAGGACAAACACTGTGGGTTCTGACTTGCTGAGTGTATCAGTTAGAATGCAGAAATCTGAAGAATCCACATTCTCCTCGGTTAGGAGCTGGTTGTGTGGTACAAAGGTGTGACTATGTTTATAGTGTGCCTTCCATAACCTCAGGAGTGGATCTTGTATTTTGAGTTAGCTCAAGTCTGTAGTGTGGTAGCCATATACCCTAAGGGTGATTTGGCAAAGTGTCTTCAGAGTGTCTCAAATTTGCCAGATACAACAACAAAACATACCGTATTGACGACATCGACTGGTCTGTGAAGCCCACACAAGCCTTTCAGAAGAGGGACGGCTCTGAGATCACGTACGTGGATTACTACAAGCAGGTAGGCATGCTTCTTGCCTCCCTTCTTAACCTAGAGACCACATTCTCTGTTTTAATTACTTCTCCTGTGGTTGTGACCTTTCCTACAAGAGACAGGGTGAGGGGAGACTGGTTTCTTCTGGTTTACAGTTTCTCTGTGGTGAGGAAGAAGTGGGTAGGGGGGTACTGGGCACGGTAGGAAGCTGGCTGGTCACACTGCAGAATGCACCAGACATGGAGCTGGTCTATAAAACCTCAGGACCGCCCCCACCCCGTGACCCACTTCATGTCGCCCCACCTCCCAAAGCTCCTACAACCTTCTAAAACAAGGCTTCCAGCTGGGTATCAAATGTTCAAATACTGGCGTCTGTAGGGGACATTTCACAAATGTAGACCACAGCACTCTTCCCGAATTCCCTGAACTGCCAGGGCGAGTCCGCCCCCTACACAATCCTCTACTTGTCCCTTATCCATCCTCGTTGTCTCTGGCTTGGCTCCTGTATTCTTTCTTTCTGTAGTAATCGGCCTTAAAATCATATCTGATCATGTTACACCCGAGCTTTATTGTTTCCGTGATTCCATTGCCTTAAGAGACAGTTGTAGGCATCCTGTGGTGTTTTGATCTGGCGACCCCCAACCCCATCTTCCAAAGCATTGTGGGTGGGGAGTCCTGGCTTTTGTGGCTCCTGACTCAGCCTCTGTCCGGTGCATGTTCATGTATATCACTTCCTCTTCCTGGATAAGTTTCCTGGAGAACCTTCAGCCCTCAGTTAGACAGTGCGTCCCCTGGGGGCCTGTGGTGCTGATTCAGAAGGCCTGCTATCCCTGAACTCATTCATTGCTTCATTGCTGGGGACAGGGTCTGCCCTCTCTCTTGCCTGTGAACTTTTTTTTTTTTTTTTGGTTTTGTTTTTCTCAGTGTAACAGCCCTGACTTTGTAGACCAGGATGGCCTCGAACTCACAGAGATCTGCCTGACTCTGCCTCCCCAGTGCTGGGTTTAAAAGCATGGGCCATCACTGTCTGGCTGCTTTGAACTATTCTGGACACCTTGGGTTGTCGCCTGAGTTCCTGTTCCGTAGCGGACACTTAGGTGCAATTCATTGGCAGACTCTCTTGCTGCCTCTGGAAGCTCCATGGTCTTTCACACACCTGTTGTCCTCTCTTTCCAGGCAGAGGTGTTTTCTCTGCAGTTGGGTAGGCCTCTCCAGTCTCACAGAGGAGTTAATAAACAGAAAGTAGTCTTGACCCTCACACATCTCCCGGAAATGTTCTTTTCCTCCTTAGCCACTTTCGGAAGATGGCTGTGGTGGCCGCAGGTCCTCTTCAGTTCCTCCTCCTGGAAGAGCCGCTGGTCATGCCTCTGGCTCTGTTTCTGCAGAAATAGCACCATGAGGGGCTAAGTCACTCACCCTTTCTTAGCCTAAGTGGCTTTCAGTGGCTCTTTTCTCCCCTCCTTGTCAGTAATTGTTTTGTTTTTTCATAGGTAGATAGTTAGCACATCTCCACGGTAACCTTGTGACCCTGAGATCACTGTGTTAAGTGAAAGGAGTGGGGCACAGAAAGGCACACACAGCAGTTTTTCTCTGGAATCTGAAACAGTTGGTCTTTTGGTTTAACTAGTGCATCAGAAGTTGTCAGAAACCAGGAAGGGCAGAGTGGAGGGAGGTAAAAAACTGACTGGCGGAGAAAGTTATAGCCAGACAGGGGGAATGCATCCTGGCATCCACGCTGACAGGAATGGCTGATTACATTAACAGTGCTGTTTTGTATATTATAATGATATTAATCATCTATGGCCACGCCCACCTGTCTAACCCTTTGGTCACATCCTTTGTGACTGTCCTCTGAGTTTCAGGTTGATCTGTGTCAGTCTCTTTTGACATTGTTTTCTTCCTTCCTAAGGACCATCTGTGGCTCCTTAAGGGCCATCTATGGCTCCTCCATCCTATGGTGCTCTCCCCGTCGTAATCCGAGTCTGCTCAGGTCCAGTCATTTCGCCTTGCCTCTGTTTCTGAACTGCACACTCACTTCCATTCCCTGAGTGTGTATTTGCCTGAATGTCCCACGTCAGCCTCCGTCGGGTCTCTCACTCCCTCTTACTCCCTCACTTCTTAGAAGCGTGCATTGCAGCTGGAAAACCATTTGCTTTCTTCCTCTTCCTCCTTCCCTCACCTCCTCAGTGAGCTGTCCGGGATGAGCTCTCTGCCTTTCCCATCACCTCCTCTCTGGGGACCTCCCTAGCCTAGTCCACCGCATTAATGTGGGGCCCCACTAGGGTAGGTGATGTGGTCTCCTTGCTTCACGTCTCTCCTGTCTCGGCCACCGGAGAAAGCATTCTGTAAATACTGCCCAGGTGTGTGTTTAGCACATAAGCCTGGGAATGAGGAGCTGCGCCTCTGTGTATCTTAGGCCAAGCACTACGCTCAGAGCTCAGTGAGGGCCCTAACTAAACTCGCTGTTACGGAGCCGTGCCGACCGCCATGGTGCCGTGTCAGAGCAAGCACGGTGTAGAGCTGCCAGTGCCTTTAGCCTAATTTCTGCACACTGTGTGCACAGGCAGGTGGTGGAGACCCTTGCTACCCTCCTCGTTCTCATCTCTGTAGAATCACAGTGTGGCCCATCCAACTTGTAGCCTCATCTCCCTCAGTTTCCCCGACTCAGCCATCCTGTCGCATTCCTGCCTACTTGCTCGTCACAAATGGCCCATTTTCTGTGCGTGTTCCCGAGATACCTGCGTGAAGCCACCGTACCTTTCCCTTCTATCACTAGGTCAGGCTGTTGCTTCAGGGTCGAGGGCTGCCTGCTCTGCGACAAGCTTCCTGGCTTTGCTGTTACTCATGCAGAAGGCGAGCAAGCATGAGTGGATGGCATTGTCTCTGAGGCACATTTTCTTTAGAGCCGCGGAGGCGTTTGGAGCGCTGATTGCACGGTGGCTTGTAAGGTATCTCGTGCGTAATGCTTGCTCCGAGTTTGTGCTCTAAACCTGGACTCCCTTAAACGGCTGGGTTCTTTCACCACATCAGCAAATTGGTTCTTATTTGAGCAAATGTATTTTAGGACCTGTCATTTTCCAAAAAGGGCACCATGGAAAGACCCGTTCCTTTTTCTTGTGGTGAATTGGCATCTCTGTATAGTTAAGGAGGAAATGAGACAGAATCATGTTAGATTTCAAACGTCCTACTTTCTGAACTAGTAAATGCAGGCTAAATTTCTCTTTAGTTTCAAAGCGGAAATTTGAAAATTCTCAGAAAATTGGGTTCAGGGAGAAGGTGAAAATCTACCTTTGGGCAGCCACGTCAGGAATACTTGGCCTTGCACCACGAGTAGAAAACCCTCTTCCTGAAGTGGCCTGGGGTTTGGCAGAGCTGTTCTGTAGGATTCTATTACTCTTGACTTCTCTCTGTTCTTGAAGTTGGACCCCTTCACGAAGCTCTGTTCTTGGACCCCTTCACAAAGCTCCCTTGACTCACCAGCTTAAGCCCAGCACCCTGTGGTGTGGCGCAGAGTGAAGGGTTCAATCCCAGCCCTGCTACGGTGGAGCCCTCAGGAACTGTCTGGTTCCTTGCGGCTTTGTTGTGAGGGGTCATGCAGGGCCCGTCCCCTGTCACGTGTGCAGCTTTGCTATGTAGATGATGTAGTCACCAGAAAAGTCAAGGGTCAAGGGCTGTTTCTCTTCGGTTTCTGTGTCCACCTTAATTCCTGAGAGGAAGAAAGCGCTCCAGCCTCCTATACTGAACCAGTAAAGTTCCAAGAAAGGCTGCTCTGAGCGTTTTCTCCCAGCATTTGCTGTGCTTGAGACTGGGACCCCATATTCCTGAATTGGTTTTTATCCTAAAGAATAAAAGTCCTTATTGGACTAGAGAAAAGTTTGTATATTATGCCCTTAATTATAATTGTGACGGCCAGTAAAACATAATTCTCCGGGTGTTGTAATTTGATGTTATGCTCCTTGGACTCTTTTGGGGGGCCTGCCACCCAGCTCCCAAATGAATCACACATGGATTCTTATTCTTATTTACAAACACCCAGCCTTAGCTTGGCTTGTTTCTTGCCCACTTTCCTTACCTTATATTAGCCTGTCTACCCTTTGGCCCCTGTGTTCTCCCCTTTTCTACTTCTGTAAATCTTACTCTTACTCCGCGGATGGCTGTGTAGCCGAGTGGCTGCATCTGTGCCCTCCTCCTTCTCGGTCTACTCCTCCTCCAATCCCCTTCTCCCAGGTTTCTCCTTCTGTATATTCTCTCTGCCTGCCAGCCCTGCCTATCCTTTCCCCTGCCTAGCTGTTGGCCGTTCAGAGCTTTATTAGACCATGAGGTGTTCGAGACAAAGTATCACAGCTTCACAGAGTTAAACAAACACAACATAAACAAAAGTAACATACCAGAAAATAATATTCCCAACACCGGGGTACTTTGTAGCTTGTAACTGTATAATTCTAGCCTGTCATTAGTTATACTGGAAGTTAGTCTTAATTCGCCTTTGGAAATGGGCCTTTGGCAAGGTGAAATTCAAGTTTAGGAAGGGGACAGAGAGGAGTATGACCAACCAGCTGCCGAGGACTCATCGTAAACCGCATAACGGTTGACTCTTTCACCTGGGAACTGCTAGCATCCTCATTTCACAGAGTAAAGGTGGACAGAAAAGCTGGGTTTCAAATTCCCCCTTGTCAATTCTGAGCTGCATCTACCATCCTGCATATACCCTGGGTATCAGAGACCCCTTTGTTCTTTCGGGAAACTGAGTACACTGTAGCCTTGGCCTGCAGCTTGTGTGTAGACATTGCTAAGGTGAGTTTCGATGCCTAAAACCATGGGCATATGCTTCAGCCATAGTGTGTATACAGACAGCTGAGGGCTGTTCTGAATCTGGAGGAAACCCAGAGGAAGTAGGGGAGTAAGTCTTAGAACTGGCGTTGCAGTCTAAAGGGTAACAAAGGCCAGGGAGATGGCCCAGCAGGTAAAGACGCTGTCTGCCAAGCCTCAGTGATCTCAATTTGAATTTTCAGGATCCACATATGGGAGGAGATAACAGACTACACAGCTGTGTTGTGACTTCAATGCATTTACACGCACACAAGCATACACACATAATATAGTACACTAAATTAAAATGTAATTAAAAATAAATGATAATTAAAGGTCGAAAAAAAATGAGTCCTGGAAAGAAAGTTGTAAGAAGTAGTAGAAAGGTCTACTTAGTGACCCATGGGTGGGGGGTGTTGATGTAACCGAGGATGCCCCTCGGCTCTGTACCCACATTTGCTGTCCTCTCCTTTGTCTTGTGTTTTATAGCAATACAATATCACTTTATCTGACCTAAATCAGCCAGTGCTTGTTAGTCTGCTGAAAAGAAAGAGGAATGATAACGCGGAGCCTCGGATGGTCCACCTGATCCCGGAGCTCTGCTTTCTCACAGGTGAGCTTCATGTGCAAGCTCCACTGGCCTCCCCTTACGTTAGCTGAATGCCGGAGTGCTCCTGTAGCTAGGGACAAGGGACCCTTTAAGTGGCGTAGACAATAGCTGGGTGAGTGGGAGGAGGAGGTGTCCTCTGGGACCTCTTTTCTACACTCAGTCTGCTTGTAGGCTGATGTCACAGCAGCCTCTGCTTAAGTTCCAGAGGCCAACCTGCTTTTTTGCTGTGTTTGTGAAGTTTACGAGTCGAAGAAATCATGTGACATTTCTTTCTTTTCTTTTTTTTTTCTTTTTCTTTTTCTTTTTTTTTTTTGACCAGGCTATTTTGTTGAGATCAGAGTGACCCTTAGTTTCTTCATGCAGCAGTTTCCAAAAAGCAATTGTGTGTAGTTCCAAAAATTCCAAAAAGTGTAGTAGAGCCTGCCTGAGTGTCAGTTCTCACCGTGTGGTAGAGCGCAAGTGTCAGTTCTCACCGTGTGGTAGAGCACAGGTGTCGGTTCTCACCGTGTGGTGGAGCACAGGTGTCAGTTCTCACCGTGTGGTAGAGCGCAGGTGTCGGTTCTCACCGTGTGGTAGAGCCTGCCTGAGTGTCAGTTCTCACAGTGTGGTAGAGCGCAGGTGTCGGTTCTCACCGTGTGGTGGAGCGCAGGTGTGGGTTCTCACCGTGTGGTGGAGCACAGGTGTCGGTTCTCACCGTGTGGTAGAGAGCAGGTGTCGGTTCTCACTGTGTGGTGGAGCGCAGGTGTCGGTTCTCACCCTGTGGTAGAGAGCAGGTGTCAGTTCTCACCGTGTGGTAGAGCTCAGGTGTCAGTTCTCACCGTGTGGTAGAGCCTGCCTGAGTGTCAGTTCTCACCCTGTGGTAGAGCGCAGGTGTCGGTTCTAACCATGCGGTGGAGCGCAGGTGTCGGTTCTCACCGTGTGGTGGAGCACAGGTGTCGGTTCTCACCGTGTGGTGGAGCGCAGGTGTCGGTTCTCACCGTGTGGTGGAGAGCAGGTGTCAGTTCTCACTGTGTGGTAGAGCCTGCCTGAGTGTCAGTTCTCACCATGTGGTAGAGCGCAGGTGTCGGTTCTCACCGTGTGGTGGAGCGCAGGTGTGGGTTCTCACCGTGTGGTGGAGCACAGGTGTCGGTTCTCACCGTGTGG